TGAAGTTACCCCGTCCCTGCACATCTCCATGAAGTTACCCCGTCCCTGCACATCAGCAGAGCTTGAAGTTACCCTGTCCCTGCACATCTCCATGAAGTTACCCCGTCCCTGCACATCTCCATGAAGTTACCCCGTCCCTGCACATCTCCATGAAGTTACCCCGTCCCTGCACATCAGCAGAGCTTGGTCTTTTTTTTCGGGTAGTGCGTCAACACATGGAAAAATCCAAAGTGGTCACTTACAGAGCACTGGAATTCCTTTTCTCCCCCTTGTTCGCATTGAAGGATGCTCTGTGTGTTGTGTCTCTCCTGGACATGCCACTGATGATGAAATGGGAGGGCACATGGAGGGCAAACCAGGAGGACTGAAGGGAAGCATCCTTTCTCGGCTCCTCATAGATCCCAACTGAGGCTGAAGTGGAAACCTGATGGGGTTTTGTTTGTTTCTTTTAATTCCCCAGGTTTTTGGCTGTCGTTCCATCGCTCACTGACAGCTCCGAGTCTGTGTCTGGACAGCGACCGAACACAAGTGTGGAGCAGGGGTAGGTGGTTTGCATCTTGCATGTTATAGTTTGATAGTGAAATTAAGCGTTTCATATCTGGGGACAGTATTGTTCCATTTGTTAAAATGCTTTTAAACCTGGTTATTAGAGAAGATGTTTAAAATGCTAAAAATTAGAGGAAAAGAAAATTAAGAATTAATTACTCATCTCAAATTATGGTTCACATTCCCTTACAGTCTTTTTAAGCACCTCTGTCCCTAAGTGCATAATTCAGTTCATGCTGCAAGTTCGTTTTATTTTATAATTCCCTTTCACTATTACGTTAATAATTCAAATTTTCATAAGGTACCAATTTATCACACTCCCGTGGCATAGTGGTTGTTCGTTGGGGAGCCGTTCTCTAACCACCAGTCGCTCTGAGGGAGAAAGAGGGGCTTTCTACTCCTGTAAACAGTACCAGTCTCGGGAGCTCCCAGGAGCAGTTCTACCCTGTCCTACAGGGTCGATGTGAGCCGGCAGTGACTTGATGCAGTGACTGTGAGTCACATGCGTAGCGTTATTTTAATGTTGACATTTAATCTCTTACCAGTTTTCCTAATTATAAGTCTGAGAGTGGTGAGTTCCCATCATTATGTAGAATCCCCTTAGTGAAAATAAAGTGTGCGTTTTAAGATGCTTGATATGATGGTGGTAAATATCTTTGGGTCTGCTTGACTAGGAATTTTTTAAGCGATAGAAGGTTGGACCAGATCAATATTTCCCAAACTTTTTTTTGGATAATTTTATTGAGGGCTCTTATAACTCATTATAATCCATATATCAATTGTATCAGGTGTATTTGTACATATTTTTTCATCAATCTTTTCCAGACAATTACTTTCCTTTTTAAAAAAATTATGAATTTATTTTTTAATCATTTTATTGGGGGCTCATACAGCTATTAGCACAATCCACACATACATCCATGTGTCAAGCACATTTGTATATTTGTTAACATCATCATTTTCAAAACATTTTCTTTCTACTTGAGCCCTTGATATCAGCTCCTCATTTTTTTCTCTCCCTCCCCCATCCTCCCTCACAAACCCTTGATAATTTATAAATTATTATTATTTTTTCATGTCTTACACTGACTGATGTCTTCCTTCACCCACTTTGTTGTTGTCTGTCCCCCTGGGAGGCAGTTATATGTAGATCCTTGTGATCAGTTCCCCCTTTTCTCCCTACCTTCCCCTTACCCTCCCGGTATCGTTTCTGTCATTATTGGTCCTAAGGGGTTTATGGGTCCTGGATTCCCTGTGTCTCCAGCTCTTATCTGTACCCATGTACATCCTCTGGTCTAGCCAGACTTGTAAGGTAGAATTGGGGTCATGATAGTGGGGGTGGGGGTGGGGAGGAAGCATTAAAGAACTAGAAGAAAGTTGTATAATTCATCGGTACTCTATACTGCACCCTGACTGGCTCATCTCTTCCTTGTGATCCTTCTGTAAGGGGATGTCCAACGGTCTAATCTGCACTCCCCCTCATTCACAATAATAGTTTTGTTCTGGGTCTTTGATGCCTGATACCTGCTCCCATCAACACCTCATGATCACACAGGCTGGTGTGATTCTTCTATGTGGACTTTGTTGCTTCTCAGCTAGATGGCCGCTTATTTATCTTCATGCCTTTAAGACCCCAGACTCTGTATCTTTTGCTGAGCACTATCCACTTTCTTCACTGCATTTGCTTACGAACCCATTTTGTCTTCAGCAATCGTGTCGGGAAGCTGAGCATCACGGAATTCCAGGTTATTAGAACAAAATTTTCTTGCGTTGAGGGAGTTGAGTAGAGGCCCTTGATACTTAACATATAAATATATGTACATAGATCTATTTCCCTATTGTTATATGTAAATATGTTTACATATGAACATACCTGTATTTAGGTGTCTATAAATGGCCTTAGCCTCCTAGTTCTTTTCATTCATTCATTCATTCATTCATTCATTTATTTATTTATTTTTGCCTCCTATTTCTTTCCTCTATTTCCTTTTACTTTCCTCTTGTCCCACTATCATGTTTGGCCTTCATTCGGGTTTCAGTAATTCCTCTCGGTTACATTGCCCTTGATCAGACCCTACCAGGCATCCAACACCCTCCTCGCCATGGATTTTGGATCACTTGTTGTTCCCTTTTCCCTGGGTTGTTTAACACCCATTTCCTTTCCCCACTTCCCCTCTCCCATGTCCCCAGGAACTGTCAGCCCCATTGTTTTCTCTCTGGATTGTTTGTCCTGCCTATCATACCTGAAACTCTTTTGACTAAGAAATGTATACTGCAGTGCAGCTCAGTATACATACTAACTCCAGACACACAGACATACAGCTCCAGACACACATGCTAACTCCAGACACACATGCACAAGAACACTTCCCCTGGCTGAATGGCCTCGCTCACCGTGTTCTCTCTTTTCTTCAGCTTTATTTCATGTTTCGTATTTTAAATGGTGACTGCAGCCCATCACCTGATTTCGTGCCCCATTTGTGGCTCCTCCCAAGTTGAAGGGATTCTTGGACTAGCTGCCTTTGTTTTCAGCACTGTGCTGACTCAGGTTTGAGTTGCTATGCCTACATCATGTTGTATTATTTATTCTTTGTAGATCTGGATTGCTTAGCACGCTGGTTGGAGAGAAGTCTGTAACACAGAGATGGGAGGTAAGTGTAAGGAAAATGTGAGCTTGCTTTATGATTAACTGATTGAGAGTCTGACACTACAGATAGAAGTGCTTTGCTCATCCTAATAGACTTTGTGCTGTTTAGAAAATGTTTCATGCTCTAGTTTCTCTTCAAATTGTATAAATCTGTCATGTAAAAAATGTTTTCATTTTGTATTTTGAGGAAGGAAAATCGTGCTTATTTAGAAATCTTTAAGAAAGAAATTATACCTTTTACCTAGAAAAAATTTAAAAAGTGAACATGGTGGAAGTAATCCATTGCTCTAAAATGAATATTTCTTTCCCAAGAGAGGTGAAATCAGCAACTTCCAGTATTTGATGCACTTGAACACGTTGGCTGGCAGATCCTATAATGATCTCATGCAGTATCCTGTCTTTCCTTGGATTCTTGCAGATTATGACTCAGAGGTAAACCTCAAATAATTTTGCATTAAGTGAAACATAGTTTTAAAAAATAATTAGGGATACTGAAAATTTCCAAATATTTATTTGCTTTCCAGTGTAGTACACCAATCTTGACGTATTGACATGGTTTGCTTCCAAATACTAGGTTATTATGGTTATTATACAAAAATGAGGGTAATGTAAAATTGGAGGATGACCACAAGGGAAGGATGCTACATCGTAGCATCACTCTCAAACCACTGAGACTCATGGCCCAGCCCAGTTGACAAACAAGCTTAACTATTACAGCCAGCACTACTCTTCCTTCATCCCTGAGCATTCATCACTACCAGATGTTCATCACTACCAGATGTACATCACTCAGGCACAAAATAGTCAGTTAGTAGATCTTTCAGTTGTCCTAATGCGCAGTATTAGCTAATGAAGTAGCTGATCAGTCAGGGGTAGGCATGTTCTCAAATAGCACTTAATTCAAGAAGATGGAAAGAATTTTAGCTTGGATTCATACAAAGTTTAGATATCTGAACAACTTTGTAGGTATGAAGCATTAGTTCATATTGTTGATGCCATTTCCTGGGGTGCTAATCCGCGCCCTTTGGTGGAGATCAGAATCCTTGTCTGTAGTTGACGGGTTGACTCGTCAAACTGAATGGACGCCTCAGCAAATATTCTAGACTCGTGGCAGAAGTGTCTTTGCGTTACTGTAAGAGGCCTTGGCAGAAGAGTTCCAGCAATTCAGCATGTACATGCGCAGAGCCCAAAACTACACCAGATACTCGACCTTCTTTCTCTCCTTTGC